AACTGAATCTCGGCAATTTCTCGTGACTACTTCACCACCATGATACATGCATTTTTTAAATTTAACTTTTTGAGCCAAACACGTACACATATGATAAAATGAATGTCACCATCGTGTTCTACGCCTCAAATTACCCATAAAACATGTGTCACAGGCTGCGAATATCAGTTTTGATTTTCGGGGATATTCATGCCTACCCGGTTGACCTGACCTTGACCCTGACCTATGCTTGACTGACCTCTACATGGAGCTGACACTCTTGTAGGCCTTATATGATGGATTGTGCACCGTTTTGACAGAGTTTATGACGAGAGGCGCCAATTGCGAAGTCCTGAAGTCCATGCTACTGAAAGCCCGATTTCAGGTGTTTGACCTGACCTTGACCCCACCTGTGACCTCAAAATTCAACTTTAAAGTACTCATCTGAAGCGTCTCGTCGCGTTCTTTCGTTTGCCGCCTCGTGCGTTTCGCTGCGCCTATTGGTTCTCGAGTTATCGACAGGGGGCGTTTAACGCCCCCCCCCCCCCCCAGCAAACGGTGGGTGGCGAAATACCCCAGCAACTGCCGGGCTAGATATTTGTCAATGAAAGAAGCTAGTTTTGTAGACACTTCAGTACCCACTTACGTGTCTCGCATCTTGGGATGCAGTCGTCATTAAATACGCTAAATGCACATGCTTGAAGCTCTGAAAAAGGTCTGCTGTTTTCTGGCCCTTGATTCAGCTTTGACGACTGATATATTCCGCTAAAATTCGGCTGCCAAGCGTGGCGCCTCCATCGTCCCTCCCTGCTCTCAGTTCCGCTGAATTAACAATAGGATGCTCAGTAGAGGCATCCCTAGGGTAATGAAAAGCAAACTCTATTTAAAAAGATAAAGGGCGAATTTCGGCCGTGCTTCTAAGGATGAGACTCGAGATAAGTTAGCGAAGAGTGATCCGGGGCTTCGAAGATTGAAAGGAGACTTACTGGAGCATGTGTAACCGGCTGGGTCCAAAAGTGTTTCAGGAGACGGAAAGAAAAACACATGCCTAGTGATGCTGGCTTGGATAATAAACCTATTAGTCATGTATATGATCGAATATAAGCCGATGTCATCCATTCGCTATCGATCCAGGCCGGGCACCACCTGGAGAGAAGCCGACCAATTCATCAATCGCCCATCGCGCCGACACTAGCGCTCACTCGCTGTCGCCGCGGCCCCGGTCGCGCTTTCAGCTCACGTTCTCTACCGGCCACGTCGATGGCACACACGTGGCTTATCTCCACGGGCGGCGCACTGGAGCACTGGAGTGCTCTCCTGCGGCGGTGCTCCGTCGGCACGCTCCTCCAGTCTCGAGAGCCGCGGCGCGGCCGCCTCCTCCTCCCGACCGCAGAGCTCGGACGCTGGACCTGCGCGATCAACAACAAATCTGGCCGATCGGCCAGCGGCGCCCCACACACGATTGGCCACCGTATTTTCGGTCCCGGCTGAAATGTGATCAACCGGGGAGCGCTCAGGGCCGGCTGTTTTCCTGCGGTGAGGACAAATCGACGCAATCGTCGCCAGCATGACGCCGACGAGCGGCCACTCGGCAAACACTTTGATGGTGTTGCGGATGAAAGGGGGCGATTTGTTTTCGATGGGTTTGATCGGACAATTTGGGCAATAGATGTGTGTGTCAAGTCTAATATCAACTTACCTGATCATTTGTCAGAGCTGATTGTAAGGCACATCGAAGAGTTAAAGAAGTTTTAGCAGAGCGATGAGATGCCAGTCGAACTCTCATCATGATGAGGAAGCGATGCCTAAGTAGTTAGATATGCTTGACATTGTGGCCTAGTGATTTATTTTCGAACCATCTTTAATAAAATAGACTAAGCTTTATTCGGGTTTTAGTGTCTTTATCCGATGTCGTGCCTAATCTTGTGTTGATCAATATACCGTATCTTGAATGGCTCAATCGATTTAATATGGAGCTTTAAAGCTACCTATTTTGAATTGATGATAATGATCACACCCCTCAGGAGAAAAGCGAAAAAACGTTCCGGAAAATACTAACGACTGAAGTTAACTCGATATGTTCGACATTCGCTGCTGCTAACAGCACAGCATGAGAAACAAAGGCAGTCAGCATCACTTCTCGCTATCTGTGCCTCCAATACGCTACACATCATGACTTTGTATATACCTAAGTATTCAAAATGTTTACTGTACTACGGTACGGAACAATGCATCATAAAACTGATCAGCTTTGGGAAAATCGAATTGTTTTAACCAAAGGATTTCGCCATCAAAGAATGATGGAACTGTTCATTTACATATACACGCCTACATGCCATGAATGCAATATGCCTAGACTCGGACTGCCTAGCAGTAGCGATTCGGAGCAATTTCAAGAGGCAAAACAAACACAGATTAGATCAGGGTATCAATATCACAAATGTCAACATCATTCTTTCCCACAATTGGTTCCGAGAAAGTATCGCTCATCCTGAAACATGATAGCAAGGCCAAACATGATAGCAATAATCCAAATGTATCACAAAAAGTAACATTGCATAAGAGCGATAATACATAAGTACTTCCTTGTCACAAGCCAGCATTTAGGGTTCACTTTCTGCGTTTCTGTTGGAGAAAACTTCATACCGAGCGGTCTGTTCGTTAGGTGTGGCAGACAGTGTCACCTTTAATCTCAACAGCCGCCCGTGTTGCAAGCGCCTCGAAACGTCTACGGGGACCAATTTACATAAGAAATTTGGCAATTCCCGGCGTGCATTTATCATGGGACATTAAGAGCAGCAGATAGGTGCATCAAAGACGCCACGTTCTTTGAAGCGGTCGCCCGGCTCGCCGCTGCCACTTGCGCTCGTCTGTCCAATAAACCAGGCGCGAAAATTAGCCACGAGCGACTGCAATTTGAGGAATACATTGCTCGCGGCGCTGGCATTTTACGATGAAATATTATTGCTCCTCAAATTAGGGTGTGGATCTCGCCGAATGAGCCAGCCGCTGAGACGCTGTGTTCGGGTGATGGACCGATTTGGATGAGACGTTCTGAGATGAGAATACTGAAGGACATGAATTAGTAATGTTATTCCTCCCCATTTGGGGTCACTGAACAGACTTTTGACGTATGCTCATACGGGTAATATGTCAGTACCTATTCCTAGTCCTTCATTCTCTCATATTGATTTTCGTCTGGACAATGAAGAATCTATGCAGCCAATTTGTTTTTTTTTTCTGCCAAAACACAAAACAACATAATTTACATGGTATATCAGCTGAAGGCTTTGTAAAGCACCTTCATGTGTTTGCTCTTCGTTCCATACATATCACAAGAAGTCATCTCATTTCCTATCCACCCATACCGAATATCCGGGATCATCCAGCTCCATAAATCCGTCATCGTCCGTCAGCGGCGCCGGCCGCCATAATCCGTCCCGGGCGTCATCGGCGCCGGCGGCAGACAGCCATTGGGAGAGATTCCGTCTCCGTTACGGCGGGACCGGCCTCACCTGACGGCTAAGCTTTACGAGCCCAGCCCAGCCCGAAGCGCGCCCGAGCGCCGATTTTACAGGCACCGGTGACGGCCGGGGGTGACGGGGGCGGGGGCGGCGGGCGGGGGCGGGGGCGGGGGCGGCGCACGTCTGTAATGGAGGGATAGTCCGTTGCCGACGATGCGATCGCATGTCGAGCTCGTCTCCTGCGGCCCGCCGGCCAAATGTCTTCATTGATTTCGATCGGGCCAACACTCGGCTAGAGAGGGAAGTTTAGCACGCCAACGGTCAGGGCACGAATGGGAAGGAAGTCCGGAGGGGTGGTGGGTCGTTCGAATAGCACGAGCAATATTTCTACAACGAAATCAGAGGAGGTCCACTCATTTGAACAGCGATGAAAGAATGACAGGCTGAGACAAGAAACTGTCTTCGTCTGTCGGTAGCTGATCATCTGACACTGACTTTATTTTTTTTACGCTCAATTCATAATAATTTTTTTACTAACAGGATAATAGAAAAACGACACAGCTCAGAAGAAATTTAAGCGTAGTGTGAACTGACGTCTGATGATCGTTCGGGCCTCTGGGGTGAGCCTCCATTGACGAGTTGCGTGCTTCGTCGAGCGCCCGTTCGCCCTCCCCCGTCTACCGGCGCAGTGGGCCGGCTAGTCGCGTGTCCGATATCCATTTGACCGGGAAGCCACCCGGGCGGGCGGCCTCGCTCGCTGACGACCCCGTGATTGCGCCAGTTGTGGTCATTGTTGGCGGTGCCCCGGTCAGCTCGCAGGGTTTGACCGATTGGCTCAGAGTCCGGGCACCGAGAGGGGTAAATTTTACCGATTTACTGTCGTCAGAGATTGGTCCCGGCGACGGAGACAGACGAATCCTGTCAAACTTTCCGCTTTATCTGCCAACTTCTCTGTCCGGCGGCAGAGCTGGCCTGCAGTGCTGCCATATTGCCCTCGGAGTGCTGCCAAACGGGAGGTCTCGCGCGCCACAATTGTCATGAGACGGGTCGGCGACACGAGTCCGTCTGTTTCGAGGCAGTTGGATTGGTCCAGTGCCGTAAAATCATGCAGCCCGGGTAATGTGACATGTGGGAAATCATCAACGTCTGTGATTTAGCGCGCTGCGGCGCTGGCGGCGCACAGGGGCGGTCATGGCGCGGTGCGACGCTCGTGACGCGGCCCTGAAATGTCCGACTCTGAGAGCACTCTTCACTTTTTAGTTCGAACCCATGACGGATGGCAGGAGGAGGCATGGAGCAGTCACAGACATACAACGGTGGATGTCAGAAAAGAAAACGTCCGACTTTTATCTCTTCTTAGAGTTATCGGCAGATCGATAGCTGGTAAGGTGTGAAACTGTGAAACTTGAGACTGATTTAGCGGAGTCGAGAATCCTCAGACATGCGCACGAGTCTTGATTTTGAAGATGCAAAGCAGGACTGAATGGGACTGGTGTCATTCGAAACCCGATGAACTCCGCTGCAAACGCACAATAAAACACAACACACACGATGTATCCCCGCCGACGGAGCCTAACTACTTAACGTTTATTTGCGTCTGGTGATTCACCATCAAAGGAGCAACAGACAAATCTCACCCAAACATCGACACAATTGATATGTTATATATCACACAAACATCAATCAACGGCGAAAGTGTCACGATTCCTTTGGCTTTAACACGGAGACAACATGCTGCCATTGCTGGCTACCGGAGGACGCGGTAAGTCGGGGTCAAAGCCGATTAAATGACACCGCCGGTTGATCACTAAGTCCACATCACACACAATTTATACCGGTGGTATCAGTCTAGCAGCATCAAACAAATGATATGTGTTCGCTGATATCCCTGTCAATCCATTTCAAATGACTCCATTCGCGTCCATTTTCAAACCCCGCTTACATCAGCCAGTTATCGGCCCCGTTAGTAGGTTATCACCACCGTGTCTAAAGGGATAACAACACGTATGATAGTGGCAACAACGCCGGAGCACCAGGTGAGCTTAGACCTGGGCTCAAATAAGCGATTAGTGGGCGAATTACGTACCCAACCATCTGTTGGCTGGAAAAGAACGTCAGATGTTAATGAATAGGTACAAGAAGCCGAAGTGTAGTAGATACTTACCAAACAAAGTCACCTCAAAATGATTGAACAACATAATCATTGCAACATATGTATAACGCGGAAAAAATACCATGCACAGTCAGCGGGATGATTGAAAAAGAACATTTGAAGCAGAAAAACATCCTTGCCCATATGTAATTTTCCTCCACTCCAACAATCTGCTCCGTCGGCGAACTGCTTGCATTCTCTCTTCAAGATCACCAGTTATGGGACTTTATAACAAATCAATTCTCAAGTGGTGAGGTGAATACCATCCAGGGATGAATATCACCTATTGAGGTTACCCTGGGAAGCCACAGTCGCTGCTGGAGCCGCTTTCAATACCTGCAGCGAGCAGCGTGCGCCAGCTCTTTGATGCGTTCGTACGTTAGAGACTCACGCACAGGTTTGACGGCTACCACTTCCCAGAACTGTGAGAGGCCAAAATTTCGTCGGTACTGACTATACAATACAACCGGCAAGCTAGCCAATTTGTCATCAGAGGCCTCTTGCACCAAAATCCTCTTGCACCAATGCTTGGATTATTTTGCATCGTATACCCAGTCCAAGTCTCAAATGTAACAATTTGTGTGCAAAATTTAGCAAGCACATGTAGGACAATGTATTGGGCTATTGTAAACAAATTTACCACTGTTAGATTAGCTTATTCTGAAACCGTTTTTTTTATTTTACCTAGCTAGGTAGTTTGGTGCAAGAGGCCTCTGTATGGCACTGATCAAGATTGCTAGAACATATCACTGATCACTGGCACTGATCACTGAAAAATAAAATATGCAGCGAATTGCACGCGATATTATTTTTGACCTCTTTACACTCACATATGACTTTTTCGAGCAAAAAATTGAGCACATTTGCGTGCAATGCCATTGTGCTAAGTCCTTACCATGCTGAAAATGCCCTTGGTCTGAATAAATTGCGCACAAGAGCGTTAGATTTATATTGAATTCAACGAAAAGGTTGAAATTGCCAAGATTCTCGAGAATAATGAATATGAATTGATAGCAACACCAGCCATGACATTCATGTAAGTCAGGCTCCAAATTGGGAGGAATCTTTTGAGCCTGCATCTCGCTGTTCCCATGGATGGACGTGTGCAGACGGTCGTCCCGCAATTTTGAGCGTTCCTCGGCCACTCACAGCGGTGCGACGCTCAGGTGTTCCCCGGTGGGCTACTTTACCTCTCCCCACTCAGTCTGGCATTTTCCGACAGCTCACTCTACTAATGAAAATGCATGTTCCTCACCAACCGGCCAATGACATCCACAGAGTGGGTCTCCGTTCTACTAGCGCTGGAAACACTGAAACTGACGACCGTGTGAAGGTGGGGAGAGGGGAGCGGAGGGACTGGGACGCAGCTGGTCCACTCACCGACATAGTGTTTGTCCTCGTGCATTGTCGGACACGATGCTCCCTGAAACACACACGAACCAGCTTTAGGGCAGTTAAAGCTAGATTTATTTCATATTTTAAGTTCATGCTTCGCAGCACCCGAATCTGATGGGGAACTGACATGGGTTGGCAACGATATGGTGCACCCACCCAGAGGAATAACACATGAGACTAAATAGTATCATTTCTCTCCTAAGAAGCAGCATTCAAGACCGATGGAAGCCCCCACCTCTGCGCCGGTGAAGTCGATATTGGTCCGCACGGGCCGGTGGTACAGCGGCTGCGGCTTCCGGTAATTGTCGCCCAGCGGCGACTTGGGCGTCTCCGAGACCAGGCTCTGGCTCAGCGTGCGGAGCTGCTCCAGCTAAGCGGGGGGGGGGGGTGTTAATGCGCTGGGAAACGCTCTAGCCAAGGGAGAGAAAGATCACAACCGTAGGTAACTATGTAGATTGTAGAGCGTTGGGGGAGGACCCACCCAACTGAGTGAATGGAGGTGATATCACTCCGCCATTGCAGCTTGGAACGATTCACCGAGACGAACATAATAACTAACAACATCACACGCATCCCAGAAGTGCCAGCTCCAACCATCCAGGATTTTCTCTATCAAGCCCTTTTTTACGTCAGACTCTGACATTCGTCACAGTAACACTGCAAGACCGCCATCACCCACCTGCCGAACGGTGATGTAGATGGGCTTGTTCATCAGGATCCAGGTGACGGTCTCGAAGCAGGCCGGCCAGGTCAGAGAGCCCTCGTAGGTGAGGTAGAACTCGGTCTGGGGCAGCAGTCCACTCAGCGTGACGTTTGACAGCGACACGACGTCGTCTGAGGAGGAGGGCCGCGTCAGGCGCCACATCATCGAAATCTGGCGTTTAGTGCATTTTTGAACTATTTTCATCCACAACCATAGCCATTAGTTTTATGCATTCATGAAATAATATGGCACAAATTACCAGACATATTATCACACCAAACCAGTTCTGGGTTCAGCCCTGAGCCAACAACAGATAACAGTGTCATGCATGGTGCAACATGCCTCTCAACATCGTCACTAGCCACTCGGTTTGTTTACATTGATAGCGCTCCACTGCCTGCTCCCGCCAAGGTCAGGCCAGCGCGACGCCCGGCAGCCCGGGTCAGTCGCTACTACGCCTCATCACAGAGCACCACGGGCTGAGGGCTCATAAGAAGTGGACCCTGCTCTGCCAGCTGTTGAGCTCATGTGGTGCCGTTGATTGCAAGTGGAAAGAGCGGCCGTTTGTGATTCGTGAAGACATGTTGGGCTGGCTGGTGACAGTACCTCTGACGGTGGTCAGATGGCTCCTTTCGCCAATACCCCTGACCGTGTTCGTCTTGCTGATGACCTGGATCTACTACTTTATGACGAAGAAGTTTGACTTCTGGAAGTCACGCGGGGTGAGTGGACCAAAGCCACGTTTTCCTTGGGGTACCGAGTTTGGGTCACCCTTGTGGGTTTCTCCGATCGAGTTCGAGGACTGGGTATACAGCCAGCATGGCAGAAAGAAGTTTTGTGGCTATTTTGAGTTTAATCGTCCGGTTCTGTTTGTCAAGGACCTGGAGCTGATCCGTCATATCACCATCAAGGACTTCGAGTACTTTACTGATCGACGTGATCAAGGTTCGAACGAGACTCTGAAAGATGCTGTCTCCATTTTGAGAGGAGCTCGTTGGAAGGAGACTCGCTCGGTTATGTCACCGTCCTTCTCGACAAGCAAGCTGAAGGCGATGCATCAGCTGACGCTGGAGAATGCCAAGAATCTGACGCATTACGTCCTCCTGGACATGGAAAAGAAGGGGGAGGTTGACATGAAGGACATGTTTGGACGCTTCACTATGGACAACATCGCCTCGTGTGCTTTTGGAGTCAACTGCAATTCGTTTACAGATCCCAACAGCACCTTTGCCACCAACGCTGCAAAGTTATTCAACACTGAGCGTGCTGTCATCATGCGCTTCCTCAAGGGACTCGCTCTACCGGAATGTATCATGAGCCGTCTTCCCGACCCGCTGGTTGAGTCTTCTCAGTTCTTCGCCGATGTTGTCACCAGGACCATACGCAGTCGCGATAACTCCACACATTCCGCCCCAGACTTCTTGCAGCTCCTGATGGACACCAAGGACAAAGAAGGTAACCGCGTCCTTTCTACCAGCAGCATCATTTCTCAGTCTGTGCTGTTTCTGTTTGTCGGCTACGACACGACAGCCAGCCTGCTGACGTTCGCCGGCTACTGTCTCGCCACTCACCCGGAGGTCCAGGAGCGTGTCCAAGAGGAGGTGGATGAGGCAGTGTCCAGGCACGGAGACCTCACTTATACCGCCCTCCAGGAGATGTCCTACCTGGACCGGGTGATGTCCGAGACACTGAGACTCTACCCGCCGGCTACTCGGCTGGAGCGCGAGTCCACCAAAGAGTACACGCTGCCCGGCACGGACGTTCGCCTTCCCATCGGCACCGTGGTGCAGATCTCGGTGCTTTCCATCCACCGGGACCCAGAGTACTATCCGGACCCGCTGCAGTTCGACCCGGACCGCTTCCTGCCCGAGGCGAAGGAGCGTCGCCACCCGTGCGCCTACCTGCCGTTCGGCAGCGGGCCGCGCAACTGTCTCGCCATGCGGTTCGCCCTGTTCGAGGCCAAGGTGGCGCTGGCAGAGCTGATGAGGCAGATGACGCTGAAGCCGACGGCCTGCACGCCGTCGCCACCCATGCCGCTGGACAAGATGGCGTTCCTCCTGACGCCAGCTGGTCGTAAAATGCCGCTTATTGCTGTCCCCAGGAGCAGCGCGGAGTGAAGTCTCTGCGCAAGTAGTTTGGATGCTGCTAGTTTCGTGAAATGTTTCGTGATGAGAATAAGCCGTTATTCGTCAGAATAGTAGCCAGTGGTTTTGGTGAGCTACTGGCAATTGGCGCACAACCACTTGGCCCAATGAACCTCGAGTTGTGTTGCTTTTTGTAGTCAAGTGTGATCAGATCTTTCAAAGTAAAGGGTTAGAGGCCTTTTGCGTTTTATAACGGCTTGTGTAATATATTACTTCCTTCGGTAAGATTTTGTCAAAGCTCATTCGTTGATGAATGCTTTGCTGGGATTTTACGTGACCCAGTAAAACGCCTTCTAGGTCGACAAACAAGCGAGCGAGAATGAGCCCTGCTTGTGCGGAAGTGCAAGAAGATACTTACTTATTTTTTAATTTTTCTCCCGACGGGCTACAGCCCTAGTCGGGGTAGGGGGAAGTTACTAGCTGGCAATTATAGCCAGATCTTCCGTTTTACTTTACACTTATGCCGGCTATGTTATTCCGGCCCAGGCAATATCAAGAACAACTTCTGCAAGGCACCCTTGTAGCCGGTTGCAAGCGGTGTAACGCATTTCAGCGCAATCGGTTCGGCCGTTCCCGAGATCTGGAAGTGACCACTGCAGGAGTGCATTGCGGCAGCACCCCAACCGTGACACACAGGTATGCCTTGTCTGCTGGGTGCATGTACAATGTATGTACATGCCAAGTTAAGCACAATGGGCCCGTGCAGAGACATCAACATTTTTATAAAACTGCCATCTCGTTTTGCACGTGGCATGTGCTTTCATAAATAATATATATGCTTGGTAGAAGGGACGTCCTACCCAACCCAACAAAATTGCCGGAAGTAAATCGGTCTAAAGGTTTCGGAGATATAAGCTTCGCAAAAGCGTTACCACGGTTGACCAGCAGCCGCCGATACTCAGATATTTCTGCTGTTTTACGTAGGACTTCGCAAGCTTCGCTCGAAGTTATAGATTCACCCTTCGTATTTATGCACGTTTATTATTATGCATTCACATGTGCCAGTATTAATTAAGGCCTGGCTACACAGTACACTACGCGTTTTCTGCGTGCGTTTTTTTGCGTGATATCGTTCTAGAAAAAAAAAGTTATAAATAATACAACTTTTACATTAGTTGTGCATTAGTTATGTATGTACGAAAGTTAATATAACTCTTATAGCTATTAACTAAAATTTAAAATAAACACATCACAAAAACGTAATAACGTTTTATATTCTAGAACGATATTACGCAAAACCCGCAACCCCGCAAAAAATGCACGCAGAAAACGCATAGTGTAGCCAGGCCTTTAGTGATGCAGATTACGGAAAATCGGAATACCGATACCAATACAAATACCTACCTACCAAAACCACGGGGAAATACCGAAACCAAACCAACTTGGGAAAATGAGGGAAATGCCAGCTTTTTACCGATTTCTTAGCCTCTCATACATTAGTGAGGGTTCATAACCAACAAGATACCAAACACAATACGATTGAAATACCAAATACCAAGTTGGTATCGGTTTGGTATCGGTATACCAAAAAGTTGGTATCCGTTTGACATCTCTAACCAGTATGTACTAGTATGCGATAGTCTGTAAGTTAAACCAGTAAAACGCCTTTTGGGCGAAGAACGAGCGAGCGAGATAGTGAGCCCTGCACGTGCGGAAGGGCGAGAGGGTACTTCCAACGGGCTTGCGCAAAGCACCCTTCTAACCGGTCTCTAGCGGTGTACCAAATTTGAACGCAATCGGCCCAGCCGTTCCTGAGATCTGGAAGCGGCATTCTGCACGTGCGCACGTGCAAACGGGTTCCAAACTGACTTTTGCACGGCACCCTACTAACTGGTCCCCAACCGTGTACCAAATTTGAGCGCAATCGGCCCAGCCGTTCTCGAGATCTGGAAGCGCCCCCTGCACGTGCGCACGTGCAGTAGCACCTTAACCGCAACACATGGGAATGCATTGCCTGGTGGGTGCCTACCTGTATGCCAAGTTTCAGCGAAAACGCCCCAGTAATTACCGAGTTATTAAAATGGGAACAAATTTGACACCTCTTATTGTTGTATTTTGCACGTGCACTGGGGGTGACCCACATGCATCGAGAGTATCCTATTTTTGGTAGAAGGGATGCTGCTATCCTACAAAAATTACCGCAAGTCAATTGCCCAAGCAGCTGCTGAGATATGAGCCTCTCAAAATCACTACTTTTGCAAAACAGCTTGAACACCCTTGACTTTTCACGTGGCACGTGCCACGACGGTCACTGAGTTGTATCAAAAGTAGTCAATTACGGGGTAGAAGGGATGGAGCTACCCAGCAAAAAAAGACCGCAGGCCAATCGGTCCAGCGGTTGCTGAGATATAAGCCTCTCAAAAGCGTTACAGGCCGGGCCGGGCCGGGCCGGGCCGGGCCGCTCATACTGAGATTTTTCCGTTATATTGAAAAGACTCACTTCGCTCGCTGCGCTCGCTCGCTCGTAATCACGGACAATCAGACTCATCTTCACACCACACCAATTGGAAGTTCAGCCCAGAGGCCCCAGAGATAACTGTGGGTCAGTGCACCGTGCAACGGGCCCCTCTAAGTCATCCCTAGCCACCCGGTTTGTTTATATTGATGGCGCTCCACTGCCTACTGCCGCCAAGGTCAGGCCAGCGCGCCGCCCGGCCGCCCGGGCCAGTCGCTACTACGCTTCATCAGATAGCGCCACGGGCTCATGTGAAGTGGAGCTTGTTGTGCTGGCTAGGGAGCTCATGTGGCGCCGTTGAAGTGGCCAAAACCGCGGTTTGTGATTCGTGAAGACATGTTGGGCTGGTTAGTGACGGTTCCTCTAATGTTGATCAGATGGCTCATTTCACCTGTGATTTTGGCTGTGCTCGTCCTCCTGATGACCTGGATCTATTACATCCTGACGAAGAACTTTGACTTCTGGAAGTCACGCGGGGTGAGTGGACCAAAGCCACGTTTTCCCTGGGGTACCGAATTCGGATCGCCGTTCTGGACTTCTCCGATCGAGCTCGATGCCTGGGTATACAGCCAGCATGGCGGAAGGAAGTTTTGTGGTTATTTTGAGTTTAATCGCCCGGTTCTGTTTGTCGGAGACCTGGAACTAATCCGTTACATCACCATCAAGGACTTTGAGTACTTTACTGATCGGCGTGATCAAGGTTTCTTCGAGAATCTGAAAGACGCTGTCTCCGTTTTGAAAGGAGCCCATTGGAAGGAGACTCGTTCCGTCATGTCATCGTCCTTCTCGACAAGCAAGCTGAAGGCGATGTATCAGCTGGCGCTGGGCAACGCCAAGAATCTGACGCATTACGTCCTCCTGGACATGGAAAAGAAGGGGGAGGTTGACATGAAGGACATGTTTGGACGCTTCACTATGGACAACATCGCCTCGTGTGCTTTTGGAGTCAACTGCAATTCCTTTACAGATCCCAACAGCACCTTTGCCACCAACGCTGCAAAGTTATTCAGCACTGAACGTGCCGCCATCATGCGTCTGATCAACGATCTCGCTCTACCGGAATGTATCAAGAGCCGCCTTCCCGACCCGCTGGCTGAGCCTTCTCAGTTCTTCGCCGATGTCGTCACCAGGACCATACGCAGTCGCGATAACTCCACACATTCCGCCCCAGACTTTTTGCAGCTCCTGATGGACACCAAGGACAAAGAAGGTAACCGCGTCCTTTCTACCAGCAGCATCATCTCTCAGTCTGTGCTGTTCCTGTTTGTCGGCTACGACACGACAGCCAGCCTGCTGACGTTCGCCGGCTACTGTCTCGCCACTCACCCGGAGGTCCAGGAGCGTGTCCAAGAGGAGGTGGACGCGGCACTCTCCAGGCACGGAGACCTCACCTACGCCGCCCTCCAGGAGATGTCCTACCTGGACCGGGTGATGTCGGAGACACTGAGGCTCTACCCGCCGGCTACTCGGCTGGAGCGTGAGTCCACCAAGGAGTACACGCTGCCCGGCACAGACGTTCACCTTCCCATCGGCACCGTGGTGCAGATCTCGGTGCTTTCCATCCACCGGGACCCGGAGTACTATCCGGATCCGCTGCGGTTCGACCCGGACCGCTTCCTGCCAGAGGAGAAGGAGCGTCGCCATCCGTGCGCCTACCTGCCGTTCGGCAGCGGGCCGCGCAACTGCCTCGCCATGCGGTTCGCCCTGTTCGAGGCCAAGGTGGCGCTGGCAGAGCTGATGAGGCAGATGACGCTGAAGCCGACGGCCTGCACGCCGTCGCCACCCATGCCGCTGGACAAGATGGCGTTCCTCCTGACGCCAGCCGGTCGTAAGATGCCGCTTATTAGTGTCCCCAGGAGCAGCGCAAAGTGAAGCCTCAGTGAGGGTAACTGCATGTAGGATATGGCAGGCTTCGTGAAATGCTTCCGAATGGGAACACATGGCTTATTCGCCAGAAAAGCCATCTATTGGCTTTGGTGGGGGATGTTAGCACTTGGCGCATGGCCACTTAGCTCACAGCCCACGGTAAGTGTTGCTCAGTGTGTGACAAGATCTTCCAAAGTAAAGAATAAGGCCTTTTATGTTTGATAACAGGCTTTGATACCCATAAATATGTAATAAATCAATGCCTACGGAGACATTAGTTAGGAGACAATTAGGAGACAATTAGTGCCTACGTTTTGTTGATGCTCGATCGCTGATGATAATTTTGCTCATATACATGTGGATTCTCGAAATATATAGTACCTAAACATCTCTATATGGTGAGCCAAGCGTATCGACTGTTACTCGTGATCACTCGTGACCATGACGCTGAGCCAAAAAGGCCTGCATTTTGTATTTCATTTCTCTCGCTTCTTTGCGGAATGACCAACACCTCTAAGTAAGTTGCCTTTTATTTTTGCACAGAATAATCCTGAGGTCTGTATGGAACACCCATTATCTCTGTATGTACGGAATGGCCTTCACCTCTGAACGGAATGACTCTCACCTCTGTACGGAATGGCGCTGCTTGCCTCTGTGAATCGCAGCAGTTCGGGGTTCGGCGTCGTGCCGTGCTGAAATGACAGGAAATTTGAACTTTCTGAGCGAAGACGGGAACAAGAAATGAAGCGAAAACAATAGTCAAACAATACAATTTTTTCGATGAATATCATGATAGTCACAATAACAACCATTGTTGTTATGTACTCATTAAAATTATAAATGTCTAGCAAGCATTTCATTGATATGCTGAGCGTAGAAGCTAAAAGTGTCATTATTATCCATCCTGAGATCTCTTACCTGAACAAGAATAGAAACCACGACCACCCCATGATTTTTGGACGATGCTACCGTCAGGTTTGAATAGATGGCGTTAAACCCCACGAGCTGAATCTGAAAACAAACGAGCTTTCAAACCAACAAATAGGCCTCATAACAAACATGCGAAGCAATCTCTTCCATATCTTGTCATTTTGGACATCGAACAAGGATACGAGTAGATAAACATCAAGTGAGACAAAGCAATGTTTGTTTATTGCATCAACATTACGGTCAGCAGTTACAAAGCCGCATACAGTTCCTGGCCCTCTCGCCCCTGATAGGAGCAGACAGCGGCTCACCTCAGCGGGGAAGGCTCGGCCCGAGATCTGGTGCTCGGAGCCGTCCGTGTTCCTCATCCCGAAATGGATGTGCGCCTCCTCCAGTTGGTAGCTGAGAACGGATCGCGCCGAGGGGCGCCGCTCTATTAGTGCGGCGGCCCGGGACGCGACGCCCAGACATTTCTCACCGGGCGACAACACGCGCGGCCCCCGGACACGGCCGCACGGACACGGCCCATTCATCACCGGACACACAGACACGTACGGACAGAAGAGTACAGACAGTGAGATACATACAGATAAGATAAAATTGCACATACAGTCCAACTCACACACATTATTTCACCGTCAGATGTCAAAACGAATGCAATGTCAAGCACGCTCTTGTGTTTTATATTTCTATATCTCTTCTTTCAGCTCTAATAATCTTGTCCTTCTCCCTCATTCCCTCCTTCGCAAGGCTGAAATTGATGCAATATTTGTCTCAGCGAATTGACGTAGATAACCCGTCATGCTATAACACCCTTCTCCTAAACTGTTTTTACGATTTGCCTGGAAAGTTGCAATATACCAATCGTTGATTATAATTACTCGTACCTGTAACTGAGTGACGCTCCAGTAATGTTAACACGCCCTCGGTCCTCTTCTGATATACTAAATACAACACCATGGCCAGAGTTCTTCAAATGACCAGACACCTGAAACGACAAACCATTCACGCCTGCTTAAAAAAAAATCGAACACATCATGCGTTCCCAAACAAATAACCACGATGCCAATGAGCAATCGTGTCTCAAGCGTCACCTAGCCACGAATGATCGGCAGCATCATATCTAGAGTTGCAAAGTTTTCCCAATGGGCTGCTACCGGCACCGCCCCGCCCCACAAACATTTTCTGGGATACCGGCATGCTACCACGCCCCAAGCAAAAAAAAAAAAAAACGCCAAATTACCGGCATACTAAAAAACCTGCGTTCTTGATTCTGGCTTACCCCTACATGAGATGCCACATTTTGGCAATTTCGGTAACCGCGCCACCCAACAGCCACCCATTGTCCAACTTATTACAATTCAATAGCCTCTTAGTGTCCAAAGTTTGAATCATATGCTGATAATTTTTTGTGCAAAATCAAAAATACCGGCATGCTACCGGCAAGACATGCCAGATACCACGAAAAAACCTGCGGTAGTGAAAAATTACCGGCATGCCGGTAGTGCGGTAGGGAAATTTTGCAACTCTAATCATATCCACGATATCAGATCGCGTGGCCGTCGGCTCTCGATGTCACGCTCCCTCGCCTCACCCCAGACATACACCTAAACGTCAGCCACTTGCACGACGCGCGGCATTTTCAGCTAGGCTCCGGCGGTCGCGGCAGCTGCGTGTTCTCACGGCCGGCACCCACAAATCAGCCCTGCTGCTCGCTCCGTTCGCATTGTGTAGACGGGAGCAGGTACTGGGGAGACGCTCAGATGGATGGACCACCGCGAGACGGAGGGGAGGGAGTGAGGAGGGACGGAAGGACATAGGTATGGGCTGCGAGGGAAGGATGTTCGAGGGGAAGATAGGTAGTGAAAAAGCGGCGACGGCGCAGGCAAGGGGACGGGGGGGGGGCACCCGATGGATGATGGTTGGATAGCATTGGCGGGGGGATGCTGGAAATAGAGATATTCGAAGACGATATTCCCCCCCCCCCCACACACACACACAAAAAGCAAATGAACGGCAAACGGAGAACCCAGATAAAAAACAACGAAACAAAGAAACAAAACAGCCAATATATGTACCTAACACTGGGGCAGCGGGTGGGACACGGGTAGGGCGGCCGACACCGCGGGGATGGCTCGTCAGCTCTGATCAGTCACCTCTCCCCGGAGACCCGGCCGGAGATGATGCCGTGATTCGGTCATCGTTGTCCGACCGGCACACTGGGGACAGCGCGCCGCCAGTAGAGCGACGGAACTGGCGCTCCTGCGGCGGCGACGGCACGCCTGAGACGCAGAGAACACCCGGCGGCGCCGCCCCGGGGGAGCCCGCCGGCGGCGCTGCCCGACAAACCGCCCTCTGATCGCCGGTCAGCGCGGTTTGTTTTCTGCATTGGCCGGCGGATTGTTTGGTCTCCTGAGCGGAATGAGCCGCCAGAAACGACAAAATCGCCTCTGATTGGATGGTAGTCTGAGAAGTCGATGGAAGGGGCTTAGACGGCGCACACGGATAAGAGGTAGTACGGCCGTATCGAGGCCACGGGCAATTTGCCCCTGGTATTGAAACATTACCAGACGGAGGAAAAAAATAATATGCTGGGATACAGTTGTGATAGTTGGTATCTGGAAAGTAGAACATTGCCCCACAAAACACGTAAAAAAATGTGATTTAAACCGATTGAAGCAACTCCAGTGTTGGAAATGAGCCCCTTTTCTGGTCCCGGGCGGGTCCAAAAGATTTTATTCTCCTTACCAATTTTATACTCCGGCACCTCTGTGTCAAAATGTGACTAGCAAAAGAACAGCGACTGGCGCAAAGTCGCCCAGACATCAACGAACTAGCAAATTAAGGAACGTTAACCGATTCTGGAGTTTTTATGCTTTGTTCAATTAATAACTCATTGATTTATCAAGTCATTGGGCCCGCGAGATTCATGCACAATCCGCAAATTTGGGATAAGGTGGATCCCTAAAAGTTATCCTTTGTTGTGCTGTATGGTAACCAACTGACTGGTCTTCCCACAGGATCCTCCATAAATGAAGTCTCCCAGACCAGTCCTACGTGGAACCGGTCCCTGGCCTGCTCTTCCCGGCTGTTCCTGCTCCTTAACGGTCTACGCACTGCGCCCAACGGACTTTGTGGACTATTCGAAGACGCTTTGATCCTGTTCGTGAATCTCCTCATGTCAATCCATATTATCCATTGTAGCACATTCAAATGTACAATTTGTGTTCTAGCTGGTCAAATCGTGCACAGAACTAAGACATTCGTTACATTGAATGACTCACCGCACATCCAACTTGCGTGCCTCGTGGGTGCCTCGCCCAAAATTCTTATGATACGTACCTAAAATCGAACAAACTATGATTGTAAATGTCAAAACCAGCATTTTTTACACATGCCATGCATCACACGAATTGTGACGTGAATGCATCATCAATGCTTCATATTGTGTTGTGTATGCTCTTCGTGCCTAATAAATGTGCACTTTTTATGCTATCGCCTATCACCAGCAGTGACAAATTTTGGTCTCAGTTATTTTCTGTAAGAGTGAACGAAGTAGACCGAAATGAAGTGAACAGGGTGTGAACATAGCTGTGAATCGGTGTCCGCCTACTAGCATGCAGGTTACTGGCCGTCACGTCATCTTGACATGACACCCACCATAATGCATGGAACGGGCAGCATTTCACACGTTGGCACGTTTCTTATCACAAACAAGTCCGGAAACGAAATGCAAGATGCGCTTATGTTCGTTAAATCGTCTTTCTCGACATGTTTGCGAGAAGGGCGAGAAGAATAGGCCACAGGACAAAGGTCATTTTGGGTCAGGGTCAGGGGCGTCGCCACGGATTTTTGACTGGGGGGGACGGATTGGCTGACTAAAAACCCAAAAGTTAGTTAGTTTACCGTACAATTTCAGGCCTATGCACTACTTGTAACGCATACACAATACACATGTTCTCATGTTCTCGCGTGGACAGCGGCGTATTTAGAAAATCGCGAAGGGGGGCCAAGGGTTTGGAGGGCGCCACCTCGCCCAAGGAGGGCGCCATACGGTCGCGAGATAAAAAATCGCTCAGCGGGGTGGGGGGGGGGGGGGGTTGGGAGGCGTTTTTTACCATGCCACCAGTTTTTTTTTTTTGCGTAACCTCGTATAGGTCGTGCTGCATTGATTTTGCATCGTGTGTATTCTTTATACTCCAGGTCACAAAAGGTCAAGTGTTCTTGAAATGCTGCGCCGAAGGCGCGCGAAATTTTTGAAAACAACCTTTTCCTCCGCTTTTTAGGCACGCCTTTTATACGATCACCGTTCAAAGCTCCTCTCGCTCTTTTACCAAATTTGAAGGTGTAAAAAATACCAAAGGTTTGGTCGGGCCGCTGCCACACAAACTGTATAGAAAGCTTGGCTCATGGGTGTCGATGTATAAAAGTTTATTGGCGGTGGCATATCTACGCACCAGATCACCGTATCGGATTGATACCGGAGCGCGAGATGCGTAAACATCATCCAAATTACCTCAGACCAGCCTTCATAGCCTTCTCACAGATGCATACAGTGTACCCACATAACCAGTTTCAATCACCGAAACTTCAGATGCCTGCTGTTGCGGCCGAACCTGTTGACAATACTTAATCGTAATCCATATAGATGCCATGATGCACGTAAAGTAGGATCAATTTGTTTGTTTGTTTGTTTTGTTGGGTTAGGCCCTTTCGGTCGACAAGACCATTGCAGAGCCGGAAGGATGATAGGAATTAAGGGGAGACATTGGTCTGGGCAGGCACCCTAGTGAGTCGCCGGGGCTGAGCCCGTCCAGAGGACAGGCCACCCAGCCCCAAGGCACTCACTGCACCCGGCTACGGGGTGCGCTCCCTCGGGAGCAGCGGTGCCGCTCCAAGGGAGCAGCCCGCATGAGATAAAGTTGCCTGTCCAGCCCGGAGGGGGGTTGCGGCGTGGAGGAGAAGGATTTCAGTATCCTGAGGATAGAAGCACGGAACGGTGTAGGATCAATCCGTTAAAGGGACACTCCCACCTTAACATTAGTTTTGAGTTGAGATAGCCAAATTGGTGGCCATGGCCTGCAAATACCGGTTTGGGCACTCACAACATCGACAAATGCTTTAATTTGGAGATATGGAATTTCAAACTTGCAGTTTTCGGATTCTAAGGGGCTAGTGCATTGGTATGCCCCCTTAGAATTTGTGACGTCAGCGGAGATCTAACGATTTTTAAATCTTTTACTAAAACGTTTGGTAGCACGCGGTGGTATATGCTGCTTTGCGCGCAACAAATGCCGCACTTTCAAATAAAGTCGCTAGGAACAGCGGAGATCCCAAAAAGTAAACAAAAGTAAAAGTCTAATATCTTGAAAACCGGTGAATATTTTTCGATGAAATTTGGTAGATATTCGTTTTCGCTCTTTCTGAACCGAGCGACATCACTTTCGTGCCAATTCATTAACTTTTTTGAAGGTGGGAGGGTCCCTTTAAGACCAAAGACGTGTTTTATGCATCGTAGAGCGTAGATAGTTTTGGTAGGTATAGGTACTTCATTCATTGTGCTGAATGCACGTTCATTTGTGGCAGTTTTCACAGGCAAGACATCAACTATGTGCAATAGAACGACTAAGTTGAAAAACATGCCAAAGGAGTAAATAAATGATAAGAGGGCAGCGATCAACGGATGTTGCCAATAGGTAGAAGGGCTGCGATCCACAGGAGGGCGCTAATAGGTAGGAGAGCCCCGATCAACATCCCGAGTTTCGATAGTAGGGCACCGATAGGTAGGAAGTTGGCGAGCAGCAGGAGGGCGCCAATGGATAGAAGGGCAGCGATCAACAGGAGGGCACCAATAGGTAGGAGGGCCCCGATCAACAATCAACAGGAGGGCGCCACCAGGTAAGTGGGTGGCGAGGAACAGGAGAGCACCAATAGGAGGGTGGCGATCAACAAGAGGTCGCCAATAGGTGGGAGGGCGGTCATCAACTG